GAGAGAGAGAGAGAGAGAGAGAGAGAGAGAGAGAGAGAGAGAGAGAGAGAGAGAGAGAGACGCACTAAGGACCCAGCACAGAGGCACAGTACAGAAATAGGCTGAAGGAGGGTAATGCCACCTGTGTCGGTCTACCTACAGTGACTGACCACTGTCTGTGTTCCCTCCCATTCACTCAATATGCAGCCATGTGTTTGTCTTGCTGCTGAGCTAAATCTCATTCAGTGGATGGGTATCAGTCCTATTTACTACCCCCCATCCCAACCTCATGGCCCTTTCCAGCTGAAATCAGGTCCTAATCCTGAGGAATGTGGTCCTAGCTCATGTGATTGGTTGTAAAAGCCTTTTCAAGCGTGTCCACTTTCATTCAGCAGGAAGTGCTGTACTTGGGGGCTCTGGGGCTTGAAAGAGATGGCAGAATCACCTACATGGTCTACAGGCCTAGCTTAGTGGTCAAAAGAGGTATCACAGATGGGGGAACATCTGGATACCTTCTTTCCCTTACCCCAAGGCAGTGGCTAATTTGACTATTAAAGAAAAATACTTCACTCTACTTTTTTATAGTGAAAATAACATGCATTTTTATGAGGGATAATCAAAAGAATCAATTTTATAAAACAGAAAGTACCTTTACAGAGTTAATGGTTGGTGCATGACACGTCTGGCTTTCACTCCACGTGTATATATTACATGAGTTAGTAAATGATTCATGCTGTACACACTGTTCTGCAATTTGAATCCCATCTTCCCCTATTAACAGTGTTTGGGGAACATCTTTTCATGATGGTTCAGAATTCTCCCATTCCTGACTATACAGCACTGTTCATGGATCCTGGTAATACAGATCCAGACAGTCTTTCAAAGAGTGAATGGATGGCCACAGCAAGACAGGCACAGACAAAAGTCAAGTCTGTGAACATGCTCTGGACTGAGTGATTTCATATCAGTTAGCATAATGTCAAGCAGGACAGCCAGTCCAACCTGGTCTAAGCAGCCCAGCTATTCTAAAAGTGGTAATGGGAAGGGCCCAGGTGCTAGAGGATTTGCCCCAGGATAAAGTCATTATATTTGTTTATTTACAAGATTACCAGGATAGCAGTGAGTAGGTGGCATTGAGAAGAAGGTAAAAGCAGACAGCCCACCCAGATAATGAATTGAGCTGCACCTCGTAGGGCCAAGGTCATGTGCACTGGAAGGTGAGGGCAGGTTCAGGGTGGTGCTGATGAGATGTCAGAGTAGCTGTGAGCAGGGATGAAGAGGCAGAGTCTGGCCTGGGGCCCAGGGGCTGGCTTGATGGTGCTGCAGTGCCCAAAATGGATCGCAGAGGAGGAAGGCTACTGCAGAGAGGAACTGTTGAGTGCAGTCTTGTGCCCTCTTCCCTTTGTTTTCGTTCTTCCTCCTGTGACAACTGATTAAAGGAGGAAGCCATCCTCACTGACACTTGTACCACCCCAAATTACCCCTGACAAGCCCCTATGTAGTGATATGACCAGCACCCCAGGAGCACTCAGGGCAAGTTCGGCTTTAGATGTATGATGGTGGGTGATTTAAGTCTTCCATTTTCTTCCTTTGCTTTTATTTAAGAGACAGAATGCAATTCTGAGCCATTAGATACACATAGACTTGCAGTTTCAAAGTTTGAAGTGCTGGCAGGTCAAGACAAAAGCTTCTCCATGATGTGGGATGAGTGAGGTCTTCAGAAGTCTTGGCCTAGGTGCTCACAGGGTGTCAGGAGCCCGGGACCACTTGGCTAGCTTCAGACCAGCAGGGGCTGACAGGAAGGAGCTCACTTGTGTTTGCTCAGTTACCATCAGCGACTCCTTCTTTGTGTAAGATGGTAATGAGGCCATTAGGAGAGGCTCACCTGAAGTGCAGCTTGTGAATCCAAGGTAATTAAACACCTCCTGAATGAAAGGGAAAGGCCAGGGAAGGTTAAGTGAGGAATAATCCGCAGCACAGGTGGCCCAAGGCCTTTGAGGAGCCAGAAGAAGAGTGACAGTGGCAGGCACCATTTCAAAGGAAGGAAATGTCACCCTAGTCCTCAAAAGGGACAGGGTTTTTATTATTTGGGGGGTTAGGAGTAGGTTTTTTTTTTTTTAACATTTTAGTAAAGCACGTTTTTTTCATACTTCTGTCTCAGCTTGAAAATCCATGGCAGAACCTTCCTAGAGGCCAAGGGTCCAAGGGGCGTGCATCACTCCTCAGGGCCCCTCAGTACTGTGGCCTTTGAGTTTGTGGTCACAGAAAGGGAAGCACAGCAGAGGACTAGCTTGTGCACAACACACACGCACGTACGCATGCATGGGTAATATGACAGATGTCCAATTACTTTCTGATGAAGACTGTATTCTGCCACCCCTCACTTTATAGAAGTAGAGTGGCTGGCCCCTGAGTGCTTGTTCCTGTCCCTTCTAACCTTGATGTAGTCCAAGCAGATGACCCTCCTCTCTAGCAACCTCACAGGAGAGCTCCCTGATCTCGGTTACAGGCCCTTTCAGCTTATCCTCACTACACAAGCAGCTTTTGCTATTTAGGCCTTGCCTCCAAACCTCTGCTGTCTCTATACCATGACTGTATAATAGCTATGAGGATTCATCATCACAAAGCAGAAACTGGTAAATAAGATGTGTACCCAGTAGAATATTGTTCAACCACAGAAAGGAATGAAGACTTCATATGTATCACCATAGAGAAAACTGAGCATTATGATACATGAAAAAATCTGGTCATGTGGGCTACCGACTGGTCCTGTAGTTCCATGTACTTGACTTATGCAGGATGTGTTGGGCAGGTGCCTGGTTGTCTAGGACTAGGGTAGGAACATGAGGTTTCTTCTGGAAGTGGTGAAAATGTTCTAGAATTGGATGGTTTTGATTGTTGTACAACCTTAAATTTATACTACCTAACTATAGTCTCTAATGAGTGCATTTAGAAATTTGTGAAATATACCACAGCAATTCTTCAAGCAGAGGACACCTTTTTTTTTTTTTTCTTTTTCTTTATCGAACTGACCCTTCCTGGAATTGCCTGAGGCTCTCTGGGTGCCAGGCTCAGCCATCTGTCCCTCTATGACCTGCTCTCACACTGTCTTCTTTCATGTTTCACCAGATCTCCTCCCTGAAGAACAGGCTAAAGAAGGTCTCCACAACCACAGGCGATGGGGTGGCCAGAGCCTTCCTCAAGGCCCAGGCTGCTTTCTTTGGCAGTTACCGGAATGCACTGAAAATTGAGCCAGTAAGTAGCCTCTTGGCATGAAATAACATCTATGTTTGATTAGGGACCAAGAAGCAACCTCTGAATATGAGAAATCCTTGGTTCACCTTTAGGAGGTTTTGTGCCAGTATGTGTGTATGTGTGTGTAATGGAGGGTCTGGGTTAAAGCACAAGTGAAGGAGTTTTACATGAATCACTCCCTCTTACAGTGAAGGGAAGACATGAGGGTGCCCCAGTACCTGTGTGTTAAATGCTATGCCACTCCCTTCATGGTTGTCCAGTTTTCATAAAGGCTCATAGGTCAACTATGAGATAATGACAATCAAGTCCACATTTCAGATAAGGACACCAAGGCTTCAAGGAAGAGAAATGATTTACCAACAGCCCCAAAGCTTATGATTTTGCCCTATGCTTCACCACCCCTTGTCTTTTAAAGGGTCCCTTCTTCCTAGGAATTCACATTTTGGTGGCTCCCTATATATAGTCATGATTTAAATGAGCACAACACAGTAAGGACTGAGCAGTGATGTTACCTACATGCCTAGCCTTTCCACTCACCTGAGTCTGGTTGATCATTTCCTTTGCCATGTGAGATAATGTTGAATAGTTACAAAGAGGTCAGGTCTTTCCTGAAACCAAAGGCAGCTCCACCACTTCTTACTGCTTCCACTTGAAGCTTTCCACTGGTGTCTCTCTACTCAGCCTACCTTTGCCTTCTGGCTGAGCAGAATGCATGTGTAGCCCAGGCAGACTCGAAATGTGTGAGAGACCAACCATGGTCATACTGATCCAGGTCAACATAATCTGTTTCTAGTTTCTTCCTAGGTCTTTCTAATGTCTATCAACTTAAAACAAGTTCCCATGTCCTGCTTGTCTGGAAGGGAGCTGGCCCCAACTCTGACATGATCTTGGGCCCAGATAAACCAATCAAGTTTTAAAAGTTGGTGTAATTAAAGGAAAATATTGTCCTCACCCCTCTCTAAAAGGAAAGTGGGAGATCTGGCCCAGTTCTTCCCCAGGCCTGGTGGGACCCAGAAACCTGGACACATTTTTCACCCTGGTATTTGTCTCACAGTTGTCACATACATGTCTAGAATCCAGAGTTTATTGAATCCAATGCATAGTACTGGATCTGAGCTGGACACTCTCGCCTCCAGAAGAGGAGTTGCTGGTTGCCCCTGACTGATAGGCTCTGGGTTAAAGCACTGCAACCTAGGGATTTAAACCTGGCTCGGGGCTTCTTAGCTGCATAAAACTTGAACAAGTCACTCTGTGTGGTTAAACTTTACTTTCCTGCAAAAGTGGATATACCTTGCTTCTCCCTTCTGGTTCTTTTTAGCCTCAAGCAGCCCTGAAGTGTCTTAGAAAAGGTGAGACCTGATGAATAAGACTTGAAAGACCAGAACAGAGGTGCTGTACCCTGTCACAAGTATGGGCTGTTAAGCATACCAAGGCTTGTGGTCTGGAGGTGGAGATGGGCTGAGACAGCTTGGGCAGAGGCTTGGATGCTGTTGTAGGAGTGTGCACTTTACTCTGTAGGAGCATAAGGTTCAGCATGGAGATATGATACTGCTGATGACAGGGTTGAGTGTTAAGACAGTGATAGGCTACACCAGAATGTTCCATGGTGGGAAAAGAGGCTTGGGCTAGTAATAGATGAAATATAGTAGACAAGTGGCATATAATGTCAAAGTGGCTCCAGAGATTGGGAGGCTGAGAAAGGGTGGTAATGGGGAAGCCTGACGCCATGGTATTCATACCAGGGGGATTTGTAGTGAAAATGAATTGGCACAGACTAAATGTTCACACAGTAGGTACTCATGAAATGCCCTTATATCTCTGCAACCCCACATGATTCACACTACATAGACATTAAAGCATCATCTGGAACTAATGACAGGTTTGGCTATAGATGCAGCTTGTTTTCTTGAATCTAAGTTGTCATTTGGTCATAAGAGACACCTTTGCTGTAGGTATTATGGAGAAGAGAGTACAACATCAATTAGATGATTCATGTTTTAGTGGGGAGAAGTTTTCATCTTAGAATCCATGTGCTGTGGCTGTCCTGTCACACTTTCACTTGCATTCATCTGTGCAAGGATGGCTTCTGTCTGTAAAAGAGGGACACCAGAAGGCCCGAGGTTTCTCAATTAAGCATTGCGCCAGTAGTGGTCACTGTGTTACCTACATGGTTTTTAAACCATAAATTTAATTCTAGCAGTTTCTCCTTATTGAAAAATGGAGTAGTACAGTACCTCATGCAAGATTGTTTACAATGGCTGCCGAGCACACATGAGTGTGAGAAACAGCTGCGAGGTGGGGAGAGTGAATGGCGTGTTAAGTGTTGATCTGGGGTATGGGGCCAGCAGTGCTGTGGGATAGGAATGCTTCCCCGGGACTACATCTTTTAGCGATCTGCTTATAAAATTGCGCCAGTTAGTGCTCAGAAGATGGCTCAGCAGTTAAAAATGTATACTGTTCTTGTAGAGGATCTGAGTTTAGTTCCCAGCACCCACATTAGGATACTCATAACAACCTATAACTCCAGGTCCAAAAAACTGATACCTTCTTCTAGCCTCCATGAACCACAGTATTCAAGCACATAGACACACCCACATACACTCATAATGATAGATAGATAGATAGATAGATAGATAGATAGATAGATGGATGGATGGATGGATGGATGGATGGATGGATGGATATTGGGTTGTAGCTCAGTGGTAGAGAGCCTGCATGGTATACACACAAGGCTCTGAGTTCTTTCCATTGCACTAAGAGAATAAAATAAGATAGCACATGCTCTTGGGTTAAAATATTTAAAGAAAAAGAAATAAGAAGCACCCTGGTCCCCTAATCTAGAGTTGAAATGGTATCAGCGGGCCTCCACTCTATTTTTTGTCTTTGATTTGCTTTTGGTTCATTTTGCTTGGGTCTTCGGTTTTATTTTTGTTTAGTTTTGTTTTCTTCTGTTGGGCAGTTGAGCTATCCTTGACAAAGCAACCCAGCATCCCACTTGCTAGTCTGTTTTTGCCATTAGTATGAGTAAGCACTTTCACATCAGATAAAATCTCTTATCAAATGTTATTGAGGACAGCCTGGTTGTGGACCACAGTTACCTGGGAGGCTTCCAGAGGGTAAATATGTAAGCCCACTGACAGGTTTTTATCTAGTAACTGTGATCAGAAATCAGGGCCAAGGCCCACTCGTTACCCTGAAGCTGGTCTTATTGGCTATTGCAGACATTCCCCAATTTTAAGCCACACCAATGAGAACATCTTTTTCTATCTTTATATGTAGTTTGTTTGATTTTCCTTTTTTCTTTTTTTAGTTCTTTCTATTAGAATATTCTTTAACTTTTTATTGATTCTTTGTGAATTTCAGATCCTGTACTCCAGTTTCGTTCTTCCCTCCATTCCTACATATCTGCCCTTTGTCCTTGCAACCTCCCTGCCTAAAGAAAAACAAAAACAAAACAGCATCTTGCAGTGGAAACTGCCGTGTATCACACAGTATATTACCCTTTGATCTACACTTCTTTGCTTGCGAATGTTCTTTGCAATGAGCCATTGGTCTGGTTTGAGGTCTCTGGCTTCTGCCACACTGTCCATACTGTATCATCACTGAGGCTCCACAGATACCCTGTTGATGCCCTGTGTCATGGAGATCCTTCAGCTTTGGTGCTGTAGAACTGGCCTCTTCACAGGCTCCAGCAGTTCATAGATGGAGTAGATGTTGCGGTGGGCCAACTCAAAGCTCTAGATCTAGGCCTGAGTGGTAGCCGAGTTGGTCAGCCTGCCAGCTCTCCTGCACCCATGCCACCAGGCCCAGCTCTCCTGCTTTGCCCAGGCAAGGAATGGGGCCAGCTCTCCTGTTCTTGAGAACTATGGTGTAGGTCATGTTCTCCTGCTCTCATGCCCTCCAAGCCAGCTTACCTGCACCCTCTACCAGGACCAGCTATACTGTGCTGCCCACTCGAGGTGTGGCACTCACTCTCCCTAGTGCTACAACCAGTGAGGGCTGGGACCAGCTCTCCCACACTGCCCAGTTGAGGGGCAGGGCCAGCTCTATTCAACCCTCAGAATCAACATGGCCCTCAGCAGCAGTACAGGCTGTTACTTCACCATGGCCTCAGGTGTCAGTGCATGCTACTCACATCAGTCTATTCTTCACCATCCTTGCCTCTCCAGTTTCTCCTTTCTTCATAACCCACAAAGCTTCTCTCACCCATCACTCAACCACCTACTTGCTGGCTTCTACAGCATCCTGCCCATTGAGGGCAAGATGTAGCCTGTGGAATCTGAAATGGGCAGTTGAGCTATCCTTGACAAAGCAACCCAGCATCTTAAGCACTTTCTCTAGCCTAGATTTACCTAGGTCAAAGGATCCAAGAATGTTTCAAGCTTTGGTGCTGAGAGAAGGAAGAAATGAGTGGTGGTATGCACAACCAGAGAGGCTGAGGGGAGGAGCAGGAGGCTGACAGCAGAGAGTACCTGCTGAAAGGAGGGCCCTGAGCAGCCTGGGAGTCACTGCCCACCCCTCTGCCACACTTGCCATTACTACTTGTGCTGTGTTGCTGTCTAAATGGCTATGGTGTCTTCCCACCCAGACCAGTGGTGTGTTGTGGTAGGAAACTGGTGACCTCAAGCCACTTGCATTGCTCTGAAAGCTGCTTCTGTCTGTTCTGCTTCTAGGCAGCTGTGACTTAGGCCTCCTTCAGACCTCAGTTTCTTTCCATGTGAGCCTGACCCTTACAGGATTGTCGTGAAACTTGGATAAGCCTAGCCCAGGGCCTGTCTGCCAGCCCTGGAACAGCAGCCTGTCTCCTGTTTCTGGCTAGGATTCTTCTGTAACCAGAAGTGTTTGGGATGCAGCTCTTGCAGGGCCGGTTGACCCCTGCCTGCCTATGTAGAAGCCTGGCCTGAAAGGCTCCTGCCCATGGCTTAGAGCTCACTTGAGGGCTTTTGTGGGGTTTTTATTTGTTTATTTTATTTTGTTTTGTTCTGTTTTGTTTTTCCTTT